AAAAGAACGAGGAGGAGGAGAGAACATTCGCGTCCATCGCCCGCGCCGAAAACCAAGCAAGCAAATCATGCACTGCATATAAATAAGAGTTTTCCATAAGAATCAATTATGTCTACGAACGCATGAACCTCCTAATATATGGAAAAATTCCTATTCCCTTATCCAGCGAGCTGAATCCACTTTGCCAAAGAGACTTAAACCAGCAGCAAACAAACTAGCATTGGGAACAGAAATCCCAGAATGACTAAATGAAAGACAACAGACGCCAGTGCTCCGTCAACTCAGAATATTAAAGAGAGGATAACCCAACGCACAAACAAATATAACACACAAGTGCGAGAGCATGATGCCTCTACCAGCCACGCCAGCTACTTATCCCTTCAAAGCCCTTTGCTTCACGTTACCGCTAAAACTCCACTTCCCACCTAAACGGAACGAACTGAGCTATTCCCATCTGCAGTGCCAGTCGGCCACGCTCGGAAATCTGCAGGATGCAGGCCCCAGAATACATAGGACGGCGCAGACTTCGTTAGACCCAATCCCAATGGCGCTCGTGGTATAATGGGAACGTTGAAAACAGGCTGTGGAGCATCAAATGATGACCAAGATGAGATACTCGTTTCTGTATCGGTGTTACTTGCCAGGGAGTGCAAAACGTTCTGGTCAGCGCTGTTGTAACTATTGTTTGACAAGGAGCGGCAAAGCTCGGGGGCCCAAGTCAGTGATGTATGTGACATTGATGTTTGTTGATGAGGGGAATGATGTTGCTGATATAGGGGTTGATGTGAATAACACTGGTTATGGTCGTTTCGAGAGAAGGGGAGGTTGAAGTATGAGAATCCCTCCTCGGCACCGCCATCGTATGTAGAGTTGGACACACCCGCTGGTAAAAAGAGTGGTGCATTTGGGATATCCTGCACACCTCCCTCCCGGCTTACTTCCCTGTCTGCAATTTGCTCACCGTCTTCATCCCAAACGGTATTCCTGTCACGAGTCTTTCCTTCCTCAGTATACCCGGACGAGTTTCCTTCTCCATTAGAACATCCATTATCAACTACCCGGCCATCAGCCACAGAGTCATACCCGTTTCCTCGATCAAGATGGAACATAACTTCCCCTCCCCTTCTCTCGCTCGCGTCGACCTCCCATCCAGCCCCAGCTGCAGCTCCATCACCCGCCTCATTGTTCCTTTCCCCCACTAATCTCCACATCGGCAACTGATACACCGCTCCACCCCACTTCGCAAAAACTTCATACTCTCCAATTCTAATAGTGGATTGATCATTAACGGGGCTCATATACTGCTGCCACTCGGGCCTAAACCAATCTTCCCGGCCTATTCGAAGCCAGGCTGGAAGCTCATCAAGAGCGATAAGAGGGACGGCGACGCCATTCTCACGGTAGAAATAGAAAGCCGGGATTGGAGAGATTTGCTGGGTAGGTGGGGGCAGAGCTGGCGAAGGAGGCTTTGATGTGGTGGATGTGCGAGGGGAATGGGCGTGGCCGCCGATATTTTGAGAGGAATTAGGCATAGGTTATTCAGGCTTGAAAATTTTGAGATGGTGGTGACCGTGGTGTTGCTGGCGACATGAGGGTGGGTCGTCATAGGAGTTTCATCGCTTTCTTTTAGGGAAACCCTCTATGTTACTGACCCTGGTATGACCATATAGAGGGTCGTTTTCCAAGGGAAGTTCTGTTGCCTTGGCACAATCCACCGATGTTTGGGAATATAAACGGATGATATCCTGGGGAAGATTAAAGGCAGTTTCGCCCCTCTAGAGGTGGAAGTGTCCCTGGACAGCTTTATACGGCACGCAACTTCCTAGTGCTTTGAAATGACAGCAATGGCATATCTAATGTCAGATACAAGAAAGCTGCGCTGGCAACAGGCGGAGAATGTTTGGCGGAGAAGACTGCCAATGAATGCAATACCCTGAATTCTCGCCCAGGAAGGAGTCAAAAACAGCGTACCCAGGACGGGAAGGAACAAGTTCAATGGTATTTCATTTGGAGAAACCTCGTATATCGTCCCATGTTTGCACAACGCAGGGCTAAGGAAGGAGCAGCCACCGAGGAGTTAGGGAGTATATATATACATATCAGGGGGCTGTTTTGAAGATCTCCATCTTAGTAGTCAATGTGAAATGGTCAGCGATGGTGAAGAAACAGGAAATGCGTATAGTGCTTTGTCACAATGCTGAAAGCTACAAATACAAAAGGGATATGGAAGAAAATCATGCCGCGTATGCTCCTCTCAACTAAGCGTGTTGTTTTAGAAAGAGCTCCACACAACAAAATATCTTTGCTAAGCGGTATTTTGAATCCCCTGAAAGTTAAAATAAAGCTAAAGGGGGGTAGGAGAGAAAAGAAATATCAACCCCCGTCCAAAAAAAAAAAAAAAAAAAAAAACACCATCGCTCATGAAGGAAATTAACAATACATTAAGTAATGTTTGGAATGGATAATGGAAACGTGAGGTCAAGGATGAAGGAGGTTTCAAAACCGAAAGAATAAGAAAAGGAAATAAATAAGCATACATGAAGGTGGGTATGTGGGAGAATATGAGGAGAAAATAAAAGATCGTTCGGAATTCGAATAAACAGAGTAGTGTGACGTCGATTTTAGAAAGGTGCGGGGTTTGACTGCGACTCGAACGCAATAAATCCATCTCTCCTATATTAACTACCACTCTCTTCAGGGTGTTTCTATTACCTTTCCTCCCCCTGTTCCCCTTGCATTCCCCTTTTGTTGAGTTTTCATCATCACCTAGGATTATGGTATGTATATGTGGTAATAAAAACATCAAAATTAAAATCAAAATCAATAATAAAATGGGGAATTAGACATGTCACTCATGCGGGTCCTCGGCAGCAATAACATCCTCAATCATCCGGAGCCAGTCAACCGGCTTGATTCTGGTCTCCGGATCCTTCACAACAGCCGGGGAGAGTATCTTTTCCACGATGCCCCCTATTGGCAGCCTCGAGCCATGCACGCCAGACCTAACATGATCCAAGACCCGATGACCCTCCCTCGACATGGCCAACCGCTGCATATTGCTTGATCCAGGATGCAGCAGCAAGTCGCCAGTGACAGCCGCGAGCAGTGTGACCGCCAAGGAGAACACGTCTGAGCCCTTGGATTGGACCACCTCGGTGGATTTCAGAGATTGGACCGTAAGCAGTTCAGGTGCGGCGAAAGGCGGTGATAGGGCTGACAGTGAGGGGCTGGGACCCTGTGGGCTAAGTCCGGTGGTGGACGGGTCGTACGAGGACGTAAAATCTATGTAGAGGGGTTCATAAGGGAATAGATGGTCTTTTGCGCAATCACTATCGGACGATTCTCGGGGTCTGAGCAGGATATTTTGCGGCTTGATGTCTCCATGGACGATCTGGGCACGCGAATGCAGCCATTCCAAGCCGCGGACCAGCTTCCTTGCAAGCGAAAGCCACTCGGGCATGCCGAGGACCGGATCAAACATCGTTTTGGTCGAGAACGTTTGTCGCGCAGAGGCGGCTTGATTGCTTATATAAGCCGAGAGACTGAGCGGGAATGCCGATAGGACAAGGGAATTGGACGAGGAGATAAACCCGTGGAAGGGGACTACGTGATGCTCTACGCCGGCGATGGTAGAGAGCCGGGAGAGAAGTCGCGCTTCTGCAAGGAGGATGGAGTGCGCATCACACCGCATTGGAGATTTAACTGCAAGGTTGGAGGCTGAAGTAAATGTCGATACCCTTCGTTGGGGTGGTGTCGGCGGAGAGTCTCGAGGTGTGCGAATCCAGCGGGATGTGGCGCTGTAAACAACACTCCAAGCTCCGCAGCCATATTCGATGAGACTGCCTCCCGGATCCCTCTGGAGCTCTAAGTCATATGCAAACTCCAGGGGTAAACGTTGCTGCTTTCGCAATGCAGTCTGGTCTCCTTCAGGCTTCCCATCATCTGACGCCCTCTGAACAGATATTTGGTGCTTTGGCGGGTTTTGGTCACCACTTGATGCTGGGGTATTAGTAGGTGTGGTTGGTGTTAGCGGCGGTGTTAGCGCGGATAAAGGACCTGGGGCAGATAAACGTAAAGCGTTCGGGGTATTTGAAGTCGTTAGGACCAATGGAGTGGGCGGTTCTTTGTTCGCCCTATCGGGGTAGAAGGGGCGAAACCGGGCCAGTTGA